AGATTTGCTGTCCTTGCTATTTTCATCCAGTGAATGAATTGAAAAATGTACTTAGTTGATTTTTGCATGTATTTCAGCATGGTTTAATTTATAAAGTCTGTTTAAAATGTTTATTTTTTGATGGATTTTAATTTTGTGTTGTAGCCAAGTGGAAATTATGATGCACAGTGACAGAGAAAGGGTATGAGTACGGGATTGTTGATGATGAGGAATTTGGCTTGTTTTGCTGGTATTGCTCATGAATTATTTACTCGTGTACATCTGGGTGAAAAGGGAACATGCGCATTGCAAACTTCATTCCTCTTCCTTGTCCACCTCTCTCTGTCTTCTTGCAAGCTTGTCCTGTCTTTGCATATTCTGTATTAATGCTCAATGTCAAGATGAAGTCTTAATATGCCACCCATATTGTGAAGCAACTGGTTTATTTTCAAGTTTTTAAGCCACCATCAACAGTACTTCACTAGCAAATAAATCATTCCCATAATGGAACTTTCCAATATGTAGAAGTATTCCAGAGACTAACTTCAAAGTATTTCATGATCTCTGTTTCTTCATGTGTTTAATGTCACGGTCGTCTTTTCAAGCTTAAAAGAGGACATAGACCGAAATGAGGAGCCCCAAAAAGGCAGCTGCGGCATCTAATCTACCTGCCGTACATATCGTTGACAGTAGTTAGACATTTGTATGTTAACTTTTTTATGAAGATGGTGGTCAGCATGATTCCCTGAAGGAATGTATCCACATTGTTTCAGCAGTTTCACATTGCTGCTGAAACAGGTGTTACAGCGTACCATTTCTCACGCCTACAGCTTTTTATTTCAGTGTGGGAGTTACTCTGCCCTTTGCTAACTAGAAGTTCATATATTACTCAAACATTAAATTTTGTGGTGCAGTAAATCCATAGAAATTGTATCAGGATGTATTCCATTTTAAGGGCTTCAGTGCCTTTACATTTGTAGCATAAAAACTCAATGATATGATTAAATCTCTCCCTGAGACTTTCAGACAAAGATAGAATGGGCTTGTCTTTTTTGATAACAACAAGAGCGCTGTGTGGTCTGAGATATTTCATATAATTTTACGTAAAGGCAATGACCTGTTAGGTTTAATTTTGCTCTATGTCGTTAATCCTTATCAGCAAACCAGAAAAATAGTTTTATGTAGAGATCCCATTTTAACGCATTTTTTCGGAATGCAGCAGAAACGGAAGGGCTTCTATGAGACTGTTTAGAGTCAGTGGACTGGTCCATATTCCAGAACTCAGCCACTACTATTACTGTCTTCATTAGTAAGTATGTAGATGACTGCACGCTGAAGAAGTTAATCCAAATGTTCTCAAACCGGAAACCATGGAAGAACCAGGACATCCTCTTTCTACCAAAGTCCAGGTCTGAGACATTCAAGTCAGGTAGTACTGACCCATACAGAAAACCTTCATAAGGCCATCAGAGATGCCAAAACGGCAATACCAAACTATGCTCGAGACCCATACTAATCACATGGATACCTGTCAGTTGTGGCAAGGCTTACATGACATAAAGGGCTACAAAGCGAAGTCAAACAGAATCGCGGGTAATAATACATTCCTATCCAATGAGGTCAATGCATTCTACGCTTGCTTTGAGCAGAAGGTCAATGAAACAATGTCACCTATCCCAGCATCCTCAGATGCACCTGTATACACAGTCACCACTGCAGACATTAGATCGGCCTTCTTGAGAGTGAGCCCATGGAAAATGGTTGGCTCGAACAGAGTCCCTGGCCGTGCACTCAGAACCTGTGCAGACCAGCTGATGGGAGTATTTGCTGACATCAGCAACAAGAAAGGAAAAATGACATGCTATGGTCACTAGTGGCTGCATATATCTTTCAGGGATGCTGAAGACAGGCTGATTGTGCTTACAGCACAAACTGTGATCTCAATTGGCTTTTCAAATGCAGCACAAGTACCCACAGCCAATAATTAATTCCGCTTCCAGACACTTATTGCTTGACTTCAATTCTTGTCCTACTAATCTCCAGAAGGCAGAAAACTGAAAATGAGGTCAATGGAGCATAAAATAAATTAATAGTATATAAATTTGCAACGGATACATGACAATGTAATACTGTGTTCAGCAGACAAGTGAATGCTTCATTTCAACAACAAATCCTTTAGCTTCCGTTTGTTTACTACTCTAATATGGTGAAAGCCCTTTGTGGAAGTTGCATGAATCACTGCTCTGGCTGCTCTGATGTACTTTGTCAATGTCTGGATGTTTTGGAGATCAAGAAGAACCCACCAAGCAGCTGTGCAAGGGCAGACTTCACCAGTCGGTCAGGAGATGGTACAGGGGGCTGCAAGGTGGGCGGGGAAAAGGTTTGAAGGGAGATCCCTTGCTTGCAAGATCTCTTTTCACATCTTCTGTCTCATGGCCTGCACTTCCCAGCTTGTCAAGAGCTGGAAGGCTACATTTCAGTGAGATTTGAGATTTTTCTCATATTTCAACGAAGTGACATTCTGAGTATGCAGGCTATCAGTGAGGCCAGCCTACATGTGGTCAAGTGTCATGTTTGATAGTCCATGTAAATGGATATCCTTTGCATGGATGTGGGCATCAGTGCCAATGCTTGAGACATTATGGCACTTGTGTTGGAGATGTTCTCCACCAATCAAGTGCAGTGCACCTGGAAATAAGAACATAAGAACGAGGAGCAGGAGTAGGCCGTCTGGCTCCTCGAGCCTGCCCCGCCATTTAATAAGATCATGGCTGATCTTTGAGACTCAGCTCCACTTACCTGCCCAATCACCATAACCCTTAATTCCTTTACTGTTCAAAAATTTATCTAGCCTTGCCTTATAAACATTCAGCGAGGTAGCTTCAACCGCTTCACCGGGCAGGGAATTCCACAGATTCACAACCCTTTGGTTGAAGAAGTTCCTCCAGACCTCAGTCCTACAGCTGCTTCCCTTTATTTTGAGGCAATGCCCTCTAGTCCTAGTTTCACCTGCTAGCAGAAACAACCTCCCTGCCTCCACTTTATCTATTCCCTTCATAATCTTATATGTTTCTACAAGATCTCCCCTCATTCTTCTGAATTCTAATGAGTATAAGTCCAGTCTACTCAGTCTCTCCTCATAATCCAACCCTCTCAACTCTGGAATCAACTGAGTGAATCTCCTCTGCACCCCCTCCAAAGCTAGTATATGCTGACAAAGCTTTTCTGCTGTGGCTCCAGAATAATTTCTTTGGCAACACCCTTGATGCTCAGCATCTATGACAGCTGAGCCGAACTTAGAGGATCCTCTTTCTGACAATAGCTCCTTTTCAATTATTTATTTATCGCCATTATTTTCTGCTGCTTATTTGTGGAGTGTAATCCACCATGTGATAACCCGATTCTCACTGTGATGTGGTTAACTGAGCTGATGGAAGATGGGTTTAATTCCTCTAACAGTACAGCCACAGAAATGAATGACTTCCTGAAGGATGCTTGAAGGACCTGTGGAAGTGAGAGTTAGCATTAGAAGTGACAAGGTATGAGAGGGTTCAAGTTCATCATTGTACACATTACACATTTTTTATTGCCTGATGAAATCAGGGCAACATGGTTGAATGAGATAATAAGGTGTAGAACTGGATGAACGCAGCAGGCCAGGCAGCATCAAAGGAGCAGGAGACTGGCCTGCTGTGTTCATCCAGCTCTACACCTTGTTACCTCAGACTCCAGCATCGGCAGTTCCTACTCTCCCCAACATGGGTGAATGTTGTCTAGCACATAGCTGTGATATTTAATTCTGCTAGTAGGTCACTGAGAATTTCCCATATCACCATCTCCAATGGCCAGGCAGGCTGAAACCCAGCTTAGCTCTAATGCTTTCTCCTCTATAGTGGAAAGTGGAATTAATTAGACAGTCACCTTCAGTTAGTTGATACTCCCTGGGTCTTGTCCTTTGTAGATAAGAGTCAGCCACATTTGGTGTGGTGTGGTGATACGCAGTTCATAAGAACATAACTGGGTTCGAACTGGTCATAAGCACAAACTATCATATATGATCAACTTCGACTAAGTTCAAACTAGGCATCATAAGTAAAACACTCCCTGGTTGCTCAACCATTTCAGGTATATAAAAACTGAAAGAACTGCGGGTGCTGGAAATCAGAACCAAACCAGAAATCGCTGAAAAGTCTCAGCATATCTAGCAGCATCTGTGGAGAGGAATCAGAGTTAATGTCTTATTTTCCAGCAATTTATGTTTTCATTTCAGGTGTATGTCATGCACATCACAGCTAGATTGTGAAACCTAGCGTGATATTTATTAAAACCTCATTAAGAGCTTAAATCTTGATCCTTCAGTGCCTCCACCATTTACAGGGCTAATCGAAACCAGTCGCTTGGATGGTTGTTGCCACAACACTTGAAGATCCAATTAAAACTCTTGTCTTGATGCGTATGGGCCCTGCTACTGAACTAGTTATTACAAGTAGAAGAGAGATAACAAGGTGTAGAGCTGGATGAACACAGCAGGCCAAGCAGCATCAGAGGAGCAGGAAAGCTGACATTTCGGGCCTAGACCCTTCTTCCTCTCCTTGTCACTCATGGAATTAGCTAATAGAATTTGCATAATTTAAAACTGAGGTTTTTTTAATAGTTTTTTCTATAATACTTGGAAAATGCTTTGGAGTAAAAAGATATTGTCCTGTCTGTTAAGGTGTAGAACTAAACAACAGGCAAAATTTCCAATAATAGGTCGATGAATGAATTTGATTACAGTGCATAGCGCCTTTAATCTGTTTTAACATAATTAACAGAATTTGCCTATCTGATCTTTAAAATAATTAACATAATGAGATCTACCCAACTCGAACAGCAGGTAATGTTAAATATTCATACGTTTCCTGCTTTTCAATGTTCACTGAGGTATGCTTTTTTTAACCATATCTGTTCCCGCAGATCTTTACAGGCTGGGACTCATGAGCACGTTTTTCCTGCCTCGGAAATGCTAATGTGGGAATGCTGTGAGCCCTCTGCAGGATTATTGCGATCTGACACCAGCCCGGGATTGCATGGCGCCGAGTGACTTCGCTTGCTGACTTTCTGCAGCTTTTTTTGATGGAGACCCTGCACGGAATCAGCAAGGACTCAGCTGTTCGGGGCAGTATCGTGGCGCAAATGCAACGCTGAATTCACCATGGGTCTCCCGAATCCTTTCCTTTTGCCAGCATCATCTCGTTACTATCATTTCTTTGGGCTTTTTCTGCTCAACGTGTGGATATCTCTTGCCCAGTTTGGTAAGATTTAAGTTTGTTTTTTTAAAAGGCGAAAGTGCAACTTTTGCACATGTGGTCTTTTTAGGCATTTTTTTGCGCATTAATTATTATTAGGTGGAAATGTGAGGGCTGATTAATATGTTTGTCCAAAGATGTTGCATTGATGTTGGATCTCTAAGTGCTTAATCAGTCTGCATTATAAGAGTTGGCAGCTACATTCTGCTGTTTTACTTTAAGAGGACATGAGTGTGTCAATTGTGTGAAGGTTGAAGGCAGTTTTGTGGCTGTCTGTTGTGCCTAAATCTTGGGAGGTCGCTGGCATAACTTGCACACAACAGGGACTTTTTGGTGGTAGTGGGTGGATGGGGTGGGTAGTTAAAAATACGTAAAATGCGTTGAAGAGGATGTGGCTTTAAGATAAAGCACTCTCCATACAATTAAGGCGCTAGTTTTATCATGCTCTTGGGTAGGGACATGTTATCCGCTATAGTATTTTTATGACTGGTTGTGCACATGTATTTAATTTCTTAGAAGGATTATCTTGGAAGAAATTCACTGAATTTCCCCAAATTGCAACATTAGAACCAAAACAAAGTCAACGTGCTTCTGGAAGTTGTGGACCAGGCGCAATATTAATCGCCGCAGGCACCAATTTATAGTATTGACGGTGTTGTGAACGTTATAAAGTCTAAGTCACCCGTCCAAGAGGCTTGAAGTGATTTTTTTTTAATGAATCCCTTAAACGTACAGACAATCAGTCATTTCTTTCTTAAATTGAAATTATCAGCGCTGTCAGTAGGAAGAGGTGTTTATTGTTGCTGCAGCAAACTTTTGATTAAACTTGAAAGCTTGCTACACACCTTCTTCTGGTATTCTGTGTGGACGTAGCACAGAAGGCACATCAACTGGTTGACTAGGGATTGTAGATTTTAAAAGCAAAAACATGATTTTATCGGTCCATGTTTCTGATTGTTGAATCTGAGGTTTTTTTGGAAGATACTGCAGCCTTCAGGTAACTGCAGAAAATATCCCCATAAGAAAAGTTGAACACAGCTGATCAGTGACTGAAACATATCCAGTGCCATTGGAGATAGAAATTCATTAATTCAAAGCTAGATTAGACACATCTGTTGGACTTGTAATGCATAAACCTTTGGCCATAAATGGAAAGGCAATGAAAATTTACCACAAATTTTAACTGTATCTAAAAACGGGGGGGGGGGGGAATAGATATTCAGAATGGATTTAATGCTTGGACAACTAAACAAAAACTGAGTACAGCTGAAGTAGCTATGATTTTGTGATGAACTTTGACGGAATCAAAATTAAACATTTTTGCTAAATTACAGTGATTGAGGACACATGAGAATTAATCAGAAATGCTGAGATAGGATAAATGTTAAAGTTACCAGATCTGTGATTGTTTATGAGTTGAAATGGAAAGCCTCAATGGAGTCAGGAAATAAATTGACGATTGCTAAATACTCCTGCTTCCAGTTATCACTAAATAGAAAAATAACAATGTCTGACCACAGAATGAAATACAAACATTTTGGAAAGGTCAGTTTATGATAATCCACAATAGTTTATAAAGCTAATGGGGAGAACATTGTTTGTGGTCACGGATTGGTGCTTGCCGTTGGTCTCAAAAAGTTGCCCTCAAAGATCTTTGTCTTGTGGATTTCCTCATTCCCAACTTTAATTTGAATCTGACACCAAGTCCTGAGATGTCTGGGCATCCAGTAGCAATGATGTCATCAAGAACAGTAAGTAGCTAATCACACAGAAGTATTTGCACAAACCTAAAATCAGGAAGGTAAGGCACTGATTATCAATCACTTTTTAATATCATTTTACAAAATGTGATAAAATGATTCGAACATTCAGAAGAGATTGAAGCAGAAGCTGAAATATCATAAACTTTAGAAATGCTTTAAAATATATGTTTTTTGGCAAATCTCTCAAGGCACAATGGCTCAATGGTTAGCACTGCTGCCTCACGGTGCCAGAGACCTGGGTTTGATTCCAGCCTCAGGTGACTGTGTGGGGTTTGCATGTTCTCCCCATGTTTGCATGGGTTTCCTCTGGGTGCTGTAGTTTCCTCCCACAGTCCAAGGATGTGCAGGTTAGGTGGATTGGCCATGCTAAATTGCCCATAGTGAAATGTATGTGTAACTGGGTAGGTTAGCTATGGGAAACGCAGAGTTACAGGAATAGGATGGGGGTGGGGGGTTTGGTGGGATGCTCTTCAGAGGGTCACTGTGGACTTGATAGGCCAAATGGCCTGCTTCCACACTGGGGATTTTATCAATTCTGACATTTTCTGAATGCAAGTTTCTTAGATACAAAAATATTTTTCAGTGATAGTTATGAATATAGTACCTTAAAAGCCCAGTTATGCCTCATTCAACAAAGTGTAACTTTTTCAAGGGTTTTACAACATGACTAATAATGCAAGAATGCAAGTTGTGATCAGTCTATTAATTTCTAAATGATTACACACAACGGGAATGCACCGAATCACTGACTGCGAATTCTGGATTTCTTTGCTTAACTGCTCACAAGCAGACTGCAGAAGTTCAATTTCAGAAAAGTAATGGAGGTGAATTACTCCCAAGACCAGGCCAATGTTATCAGTAACTGGGTAGAGAGTGGAGTCTGGGAGTTCAGCCAAGGGAACATTGGAACAGTTGAATGTGGACAGACCTGAGGGTTTCCAGAGCAGTTGTGCCAAGGAAAGAATCAACAATGCTAAAAGCTAAAGCTAGGTGGCCTGTATGATGAAGTAGACAGGCATTAAGATCTAACTCTAGATCAAATAGGATGTCAATATTGTGAACAATATGTATCAGCCTGTGGTAGTGGCTGGGGTGTGGCACGGAATTGGTGGGAAAGATGTGGAACTTGTGTTAAGATATCTATTTTAATCTCTTTGGAAAGTTAAAGGAAGCTGGGTCCCTTTTAAAACTGGATTTGAAGAAGCAAGCTGATAACACAGAGCCTGTGGAGTGGTCAATTGAGTTGAAATGGAATGACTTAAGTGCACATGCAGACTCTTGTCCCATTTTGCAGATTAAATTGCTAAATGGGAACATACCGATCAGGGGAAAGAAAGTGGAGCAAAGGCTGAACCTTTGAATGATTCTGGAGATGACCCTGCTGGGAAGCCAGATTTAAGGATCTACTGCCTGTGATTAGAAAATTCCCTTGAACTGGCTAGTTTAGGAGAGATGTTAGAAGATGATTGTGCACTGCAGAAACAGAGGGACTTTGAGATAAATGTGCTAAAATTGGTGAAGGTGGCAGGGCAGGTTTAGGTAGAGTTCAATAAAACATACAGGATCCTGAGTGTTTTATACAGACTGTGGATGCACGGCATATAAAAGCAAAAAAAGTTAGTGAACTTTCATAAAACATAGTACAGTTAAAGCAAAATCATGTGTCCAGTTCACACTTTTGAATGTAAAAATTTTAGAAAAGGTTTATAACAATGACTAGGGATGAGGGACTTCAGTAATATGGTTAAATTAGTGAAGAGAAGGTTGCGAGGATATTTGATACAGGTATTCAATATCGTGAGGGTTATGAACTGAGTAGGTAGGGAGAAACTGTCATTATCGGTGGAGTGGTTGGAAACCAGAGGACGCTGGTTTATGGGAAATGGGCAAAGAGAACCAAGCACAGCATGATGTAAAAGGTGTTTGCATGGCGAGTGATTAGGAGCTGGAATTTCCTGCTTGAAACTGTGATTCCATGGTGACTTTCAAAAGGAAATTAGATAATTGTCTGACTGAAGGGAGAGAATTTGTACGGTTATGGGGAGCAGTCAAGATGAGTAGGCTGAGTGGAATTGTCCTTACAGAGAACCCATATGATGAGTTGAATGGCTTCCTTCTGTACTGTAACTATCCGATGATTATATGCCTTCAGTTGCAGGGGTAATATATGATGTAGGATGTAAGATAGTGAAGATACACAGAAGGAAGGGAAAATTGGGGTGAGTGAAGGGGTATAGTGGATTTGTGAGATGGATTCATGCTTTGTAGATCCCAAGTGTGCCGGGGTGCAGAAGAAAGTACTTTAGTCATCACCTGGACAGAATATGATGGCTAGAATTGCTTCACTGTCCCCATCATGGTGAGACTGTCCAAAAGAGAAGGGAATGGAATCTTGGTATCTGCTACGAAGAATAGAAAATTAATGCACTGCAAAAAGACCTGCAGTGCCACATACTTCACCCCCACCTCATCCATTAATGTAAACCAAGGTTTGTTGTTCCATTATAGAGTCATAGAGTCCTACAGCACGGAGATAGGCCCTTTGGCCCAAATGAGTCCATGCTGACAAAAATGCCCATCCACGCTAACACCATTTCCCTGCTCTTGGCCCATATCCTTTTAAATATTTCCTATCCGTGTATTCGTCCAAATGCCTTTTAAATGTTGTTAATGTACCCGCCTCAACCACTTCTGCTGGCAGTTCATTCCGTATGCATACCAGCCTCTGTAAAAAAAGTTGTCCCTCCGGTTCCCATGTATTCTTCCCCCCTTACTTTAAACTGATGCCCTCTAGTCCTCAATTCCCTAACCTTGGGAAAAAGACTGAGTGCATTCATCCTATCCATGTCTCTCATGATCTTATACACTTTTATAAGATCACCCCTCAGTCTCCTACGCTGTAAAGAAAAAGGTCCTACCTTGTCCAACCTCTCCCTATAATTCAGTCCCTTGAGTCTTGGCAACATGCTTGTAAATTTCTTCTGCACGCTTTCAAGTTTAATAACATCCTTCCTATAGCAAGGTGACCAAAGCTGAACACAATACTTCAAGTGCGGCCCCACCAACGTCCTGTACAACTACAACATAACTTGCCAACTTCTGTACTTAGTGCCCTGACTGATGAAGGCTAGTGTGCCAAATACCTTCTTCACTGCCCTGTCTGCCCATGACTCCACTTTAAGAGAACTGTGCACCTACACTCCAAGGTCCCTCAGTTCCACTACACTCTATAAGGCTGTACCA